AAGAACGCCGACACTTTGGATTGTTTACTGGAGTGCAACTTAAACATATTTCTCGACTAAACCGCCTTCCTCTTGTACTGACAACCCCCACCATCTGTGTGATTCAAAGAGCAACAGCGGGCTTACCTACGATACCGCTCATCCGGGTGGGCAATTTGGCCACGGACCCGCCGTTAATCGCTACAAGAGATCGTCCCCAACGCCAGATTCCCCTGACCCCAAATCCGCTTGCCTGGACCGATATCCACCATCTCCTCCAAACTCCGCGGCTCACGCGTCAAAGCCGTCGGACTAGCTTCACAATTATTCGGACGTTATATGGCATGGTCTGCGCCAACTGAAATTAGTCGAAATCGAACAGACGATGTCTGCGTCAAGCCAGATCCCCGGCTCCAGATTCGGCACCGGAAACAATAGCCGGCCGTCGAGCAAGGATGGACCCAAGAAGAACATCTGGTCTTCCATGCTGGATAGTGTCGCGAATGGAAAGCGTTTGCCTGAGAAGAATCTGCTTATCTTAGGTGCGAAGACCTGGTTTCTGCTGCCGTCGAGCGGCATAGACATTTTACTATTTTGGGGCTGGGTCGCTAATACTTGGACTGATTTGCAGGAGGCACGCCTGAGAGTCAAAGAGAATTTCTAGACACACTCGCCGCCGATTCTTCCGATCCTAGTCTGTCGAACGATAAGCGAAAGGGGAGGGTACCGCCGGTAGCCAACCAGTTCGCTTTGGGATATACATATCAGGATGTGCTGGATGCGGACCACGAAGGTAATTGTTCCTCGAGTTTGGCTGACTGGTGGGCTCTGGGTGGCTAAACAAAAGGTGTTCCTGCGAATAGATACTCTGGCGCGCGTCTCTGCATACCTACTCTCTGAACCGTCTCTATCTTTCGCTCCCCTCCTCAAGCCGCTCCTGACCCCTCAATCGATTCCGGAAACACTCGTCGTGATCCTACTGGATTGGTCGGACCCATGGACATGGATTCGGCGACTCCGGGAATGGGTCCGTCTTCTTCGACACGTGCTGATATCGCTCGACGACGAGACGAAGATCGTCATGGAAGAGAATCTCACAGAGTGGAGGGACCGGAAACGAGGCACGGATCCGAGTTCAGGAGGGGCACAAGGATTTACCAGCTCCGGAGGCCCTGTGACGATACCGCTGGGGCCAGGCGAATGGGATGAGGGACTTGGAATCCCCATGTGTGTGGTCTGCCAAGGGGTATGTTGAACTACTTCAGGCTCCCGGCAAGTCTCTATATTGACAATTTCTATGCAGGCGGACAAGATTGAAAAGCTGGAGAAGGACCACGGATGGCACGAAGAGCAATTCGACTTCATCCTCCAGTTCATGAGAACACTACTACTTAAGCGTAAGTACAGCAGCCAATACCAGTTGAGATCCGGTTCTAACAGAAACAGACGGCGCATCGTTGATCTACACCACCCCGTTCCTCGCAAACTCCTTGCAGAGCCTAATACACTCCTCCCTCGGCATACACTCTCTCCTAAAAAGACAGTCCCTCAAGCACAACGTGATCGACCGGGACAAGATCCTGGTTCCCTCGAATTGGGATTCTTGGGGCAAGATCCGAATCATCCGTGAAGGCTTTGACATGGAAGGCATATCGACAGCATGGTCGATCGAGATTCAGGATCCCCCGGAGCCACTCACGAACGGCGTGGACGATCGCAACTCCGACGAACAAACAGCAAACGCAGTGGACGACGGAACCAGCGCCGTAGCGATCTTCGAGCAAACCATCCAGGACCCGAAGCGCGACACATCAATGGCTCTAACAGGCAGCCAACGGAACGGAAACAAGATCGAAGTGGACACATCCGATATGCAGAGCTTCCTCACGAAGCAGCTCGAGGTCCTAGAGCAACTGAAGGCGGAGGACGAGAAAGACCGCGCCGCGAAGAAGGTGCCCCAGCTCGAGATGTCCCCATTAGACGACAACGGACGAGTCAATGAACATATCGGTCCCGTACAATTCAACATGGGAGGAATCCAAGTCGACGCAGACGACATGCTCCGCAAGCTAAAGGTAAGATTACCCCCTCACCATCCCCTATCCCAACCCAGCATATCTCTAACCACCCCAACCCCAAACAGGAACGTGAAGCCAGCCGCTCCCAAAGAAAAGAAACTCTCTCATCATCCGCCGGCGACGAAAAAGCCCACAACCAAGCACTAGCGAACTTCTTCGCCGGCCTGGTCAAGAAACCCGGGGCAAGTCCCCGCGGCAGCCCATCAGCGTAAAAAAAAAAAAAAAGATAAACCGATACACCGGCGATGGGTAGTAGATGCTGTTTCTTCTTCTTTTTTTTTTATTTATTCCTGTCATTATGGCGGTCATTGTTCACGTTGATGTTGATGTTGGATTGTAATTTTATTCTTTTTCCTTTCTTTTTCTTCACTTTTATTCCCTCTTTCTCTTTTCATTTTCACACATTCACGATGCAGTACATACATAACATATTTGGAATGAGTGATTATAACTAACGCGGGGGAATTGTGGCCTGGCTGGCTTGGTGACATCTCGTTGTTGTTACTGCTGCTGCTTTCTCGTTGCTGCTGCTGTTGCTGTTTGTGATACCAGAATGGATTAGGCTGGCTTTTTTCGATTGTTTTTCTTAGGAGTCGGAGAAAGATGAATGAAGTTTTTCGATAGTATTCACTGCTTTTCTTTTACGGTGCTTGCTTTTTAGCTCTTGAACATGGTTGGTTGAAAGACTTCTTTTCGTTAGCGTTGCTTTGGAGTCTGACTTGTGGGTATTGAGGAATAGATATTGAATAGCTTCATTTGTATACTCTGTGTCGGGCGTGATTTTAAAGACAGAACAGACACTATAGTAGTCTCCCAAACTCAAAACTAAATCATGATATTATAAAGTTATATTATGGCATAACCACCCGAAACCACACCTAATACTAGGAATACATAAATCCGAAACCACACTAACGAAAACCACTAATCAATCTATCTCTCAGAGACACAGTAAAAAATTACATACTCGAAAGTATAGTATAGTATCAAAACCATCACCAATTCTCCCAAACAAAATCAGGCAACACATGACGCATAATATTCCAATGCTCGAGAGCCGACCGATCCTGGTACTTATGAAGCAGGTGGGTGTTCATAGAGTGAAGGACACGACGACCGCCCTTCTCGATAGTCTCGAAGCGACTGGCATCGATCTCAACCTTAGGCATCAGATACATCTGGCGGAATTTGCTGCCCATGTAATCGGCCGGAACGGGGTCGCGGAAGGTGAGCGGCGTGGCGGAGCTCTTCTTGCAGAAGATCACCATGTTGGTGAAGTCGGTGGTGAGGTCGGAGTCGGAGGCTTCGCGGAAGATGCGGCAGGTCGGGAAGACGTATTGGATGGTGCGGACGGTTAGGGCGGCGGGGTAGAGGGAGATGTCGCCGGCGTAGTTCTTTGGGGGGTTAGTTTGAGGGGTGATGGGAGATTAAAGGGGAGGAGAACTTACAATGGCGATGACTCCGTCGTCCTTGAGAAGGGAGGATAGGCTTTCGAGGAACTCGAGAGTGAAGAGCTCGAGGGGCTCGACGCCTCCGGTGAAGACGTCGTGGACGATGTAGTCGTACTGGGCTGGGGGAGTGCGCTTCACGAAGGCGGTGGCGTCTTCGATGGCGGCGATGTGGTTCGAGGGAAGGTGGAAGTATTCGGTGGCGAACTTGTGCACGACAGGGTCGAGTTCCACGATGGTGGTCTCGATGCCGTGGTGGATTAGGGCAGAGGGGGTGGTGCCGACACCGAGGCCGCTGGGAGAGGTTAGGTGTCTGAATAAGAGGGGGTCGCTGATGAGCTTACATGACGAGTGCCTTGCTGTTGGCATCTACGCGGGGCTCGCCGTGGTCGGTTTCAACCAGACGGACGGCCTCGAGCATGGTGAAGACCGAGTAGATCGGATCCATAACGGCAGGGTTGTAGTTGTTGGGCATTTTGGTCCACTGGCCGCCGAGCAGGCTGTGGTCGCAACGCATGACTCGGAACCCATCATTTAGATTGTCCAAGACGGAGATGTAGCCGGTGGTGGAGTCCTGGCGGGCAACAAGGGCGAATCCCTCCTCGTTGAGGAAAGAGTTCAAGGCTCCAGAGTTCATGTGGACATTGGACGTCATGGAGAACAGAAGGGAGGGAAGAGCGAAGAGGAGGAACTTGGAAGGAGCAATAGCGGTGTAGAAGACTGGAAGCAAGAGTTGGAGACCAGCGCGAGAAAAGAAGAAGGTTGTTCCAATGAACTTGGCCAGGAATGCTTTGGCGAACTTCTCGCCGGTCTTGTAGAGGACATAGGAGACCACGAGAGGAACGTGCTCAGCGACTGCATCACCGTGTCGGCCCAGATCCAAGCCCGACTGCACCAGCTTACCAGCACAAGCCACAGAGAGCAGAAGCAAAGGGTAGTAGGAGATGACCTCGGTGACTACAGCTCCGAAGGGGTTTCCCATCACGGAGCTTGATGCGAACAAGAAGCTCTGAAGGGTAGGAACCCAGAATGCCACAACAGGGAGCAGGAAAAGAGCCCGGCGGCCGGTCAATCGCTGGATGTAGTCCTTAAGGAACCATCCAGCAGCGCCAACAAGTGCCACTCCATAGCCATGGAAGATATGAGCAGGAGCCGAGCCATATACTGGCGTCAGCATCAGCACCGTCAGTGGCGAGTAGAATGCCGTCAAGAACAGCAGAGCAGTGCCAGTCAGCAGCTGTCTGGTGGTGGGCTGGACAAGACCAGCTAGGGAAGACATAATGTCAGACCTCCGACCCTGAGGGAATCCGGTAAGACCGATCAATTGAGAGCTTCTGTAGGAACCAATTAGTCTAGGTCCATCTCGCGACTGTATGTTTGTTGGCTTCTATTTAACAGCGGAAGAGCTGGGGCGGGGAGCTTCAATGCAACGCCACAACATGAGCCAAGAAATATCCCTGAGGGACCCACGTTGTGAAACCGAGTGAAACCAGACTAGTCTTACCGGTACTTTTCAGATAGAAAGTCGGACTGATCAACGGACGGTCATTATTCGCTCGGGCGACGTTTTGACGCTGAGGATAATTTCCCTTTGCCGTCCGCGCGCTTCCGGCCCGAAAGGGTTTAGTTTCCCCGCGTGTCTCGCCGCGCTTCTCTTCTTCCTCAACTTCCCATCGTCATCATCCACCTTGATCCAACTACTACGCCCATTATGCCTCTTTTTCCCATGGGTACGGGCGTCGCTCCTGAGGCAGACTCTTCCCAGATGGAGTCAGACCCCGTGAAAAGAACCCAGTCACCATCTGCGGCGACGAAAATCAAAAACCGGCGCAAGCGCTATCTGGACATGCACCCGGAGTATTTCTCTGCTGATCTCGAGCTAGCCGGTCCGCTCGCTCTGTCTCCTTTAGACTGATTGGTGTCACATTCAGTCGCTCTGTCTATGACAGGGGATGTTTAAGCCAAGCTAATATGCCAGCCCTGCAGACCCGTTGCTGTATGATCGCTTAATCCGTCGATTCCAGACTCCAGCCGAGAGGGAGGCCGAAGGACGTGCCAAAGGCTTCTCAGGTGTGCTGCAAGCGGACCTATGTAGATCCGAGGCCAAGTTCGAGGCTCTTTCCCATCCTGATCCTCACGCCATGTTCAGCTATACTCGTGGACCCAACGGAGAGATTCTCGCGGAAGATCGAGACGAAATTCCCCCGAATAAGGAAGAAGGGGAGAAGGCGTGGCGATGGGAGATGACCTTGCGGTTCCTAAGGGGTGAAGACGGCGATTTCGATTATACCTCGGTTGATGACAATGACGAGTACGACGATTGGAACGTCGAGCAGGAAAAGTATTTTGACGATGAAGAACCAGAGTGGCTTGTTGAAGGAGTAGATGATGGAGAAGTCAAGTCCCATCTACAAGGCGAAACTGGTATTCAGGATTTCTGATGGTCAAATCAGGACTCCGATATCGCTCATCCGGGTGTTGTGACTTGCCTCGGAATTCTGGTGGCTATCTACGCTCAGCGTTCTCCCTCAAGTTATGCGCTTACCTGCAGGTCCTCGGTTGTTCAACTGCTTTGCGGTTGTGGCTTCGGAGCGGAAGTTTCTGCTGCACTTGTTTGCAGTGTATTCCCGCTGAATGGGCAAGCTCATGTCCATAGCACACGATCGGAGCTGTCATAAATGAGCAAGGGAAATGCCTCAAGGCTTTTGCTTTGGCAGGCTTGTCACCCTCATGCCGCAATGAGAATGCAGTGCTCTTTGCTATACATTGGTTTAGCGATGATGACTTTGCATTCCGTGGACATACCTATGGAACAAAGCAACTAAATCCAAGATGGAACAATACTGGATGCGTTGGCGATGTCACGTGCCATCCAGTCAGCATCCTTACTGCTTCACAGAACCAGCATCTCGATGACTCAGTCCTCCAATGGCCTACTGAGAGGTTCCAACAATGATGTCGGTTATTGCTCATACGTTGACCATTTGTGCTGTAGACGCAGGAACAGCATGGTCAAGTGGTGGCGTTATGTGCCTTGGTCCAGTTCAATGTATTATGGGAAGTCGGGGAAGGAAGGAACGTCAGACTGGCGGCTGGACTTTCTCTAAATAGTGTTAACGCTCGTCCATAGCGTCAATAATGCCGACCTCCGTTACATTTAATCTTGTTCTTCCTAAAGTAGCTTACCTCAGTGATTCAATATTCAGCGTAGACTCGCTTCCCTGAAGCCATTCAATACCATCATTTAGCACCTGGTGAATTTTCTATATCCATACTCTATATCTGTATCTATATCCATTCTGTACCCTTTAGACCATAGGCGTCTACTACATCATCTCCGAGGTTTTGCCTGTGGCCTCCATGGCTCTGGAGCGATGACGCTCCAGGCTGGTGTTGCTGATGGCATCGCTTGCCCTGCCATAGTCATGTCATGATGTCGTGAGAAAAGTCGTCTAAGTGCAAGTATGACATGACTCTACTGCCTAGATGCCGCTTCCTTCCCACAGAAACTCCCCCGTCGCCAACATCCTCCTTTCCATCGTTCAACTCTTGTTCTGCAAAGTACTGTTGGCTCTAGCTATAGCAGGACATAGCTCTATAAGCCCAACTTAGCTTTGTAACTATTGCAGTCGACCATTTGCTATATTGGCTGCAAAATCTTGCTCTTCCACTCCCTTCTCTATCCTCTTCCCTTTATTTCTCGTTGTGACCTACACAACGATATCTTATCGGATATACTTTGCTTCCAGGTATATCCCATCGTGGATCGAATGATAAATCAACTCGTCTCAACAGACTCGTATTGATATAAATACGATGTCTTCCACTGCTTCTTCCTCTTCCTCCTCGAGCATCTACCACAGTGTCGGCTCCAGCGAGCTGGATGATCGCCTTGGGAAGTTGATCATGCCATGCTCCAAGCCCACTCCTAGCCAAAGCAGCGACTACCAAGCTGTGGAGGTCCCCGACGACTTCGGCACAAGCCTAACCTCCGAAGCATCCGTTAGTATGTATGTGCTCGAGGAGATGAAAGCCTATAAAATGAAGGAAGCCTTCTACAGTAGCAAAGGCGAGGTTCTTGGCAGAGGAGCCTACGCACAGGTCCGCGTCGTCTATAAGCGCAACAGCAAAGACAGGACATCTCGTTATGTTGCCAAGGAGTTCTTCGAGAGGGAGGAGGCCCCATACGATGTTTTCATGCGCGATATTCGTAAAGAATTCATCGTCGCTCGTCATGCTTGTCATCCAAATGTCGTCAAAACTGTTGACCTTTGCATCAACGAGAGGCAGTGTAGCATTGTCATGGAATACTGCAGCCAGGGTGACCTCTTAGATGTCCTTTCGATCGGCCGGCTAAGCACCACTGGCAAATTATGCCTGTTCAAGCAGCTTTTACGTGGTGTATCCTACCTCCATAACCATGACATCGCCCATCGAGACCTGAAGCCAGAGAACCTGCTCCTCACGGAAAGAGGCGTTCTCAAGATTACCGACTTTGGTTTCGCTGTGGTCTTCAGGAATCCCAAGATAGATCCCGATAGAGTCCGCCAGTGTTCGAACAAAAACATCTGCGATACCGAACCCTATCTGCCACATGAGGTATGGTACAGTAGATACTATGACCCTCGCCGGCTTGATGTATGGGCCTGTGCCTTGATCGGACGATACTTGTTCAACCATAGCATGGCCTGGGAGGTCGCCGACAGCGAAAAAGATATGCATTTCCAAAGGTTTGTACTTGATTGGGCGGGATTTCGTAAAAGCCGTTGTGTCAGCCTTATTGATTGGGCTGATATCCACGAATGGCAGCCAGGGTTCCGGCCTACAGACTACCCGAGCCCTGAGATATGGTCTCTGATTCTCCTAATGCTGCACATTTACCCCGACAAAAGACTCACAATCGATGAAGCCTTGAATAGCCCCTGCATTCAAGCTATTGATTGCTGTTCTCCGACGGGGCTTGAAACAGCTTCTACAAATTCTCACTCTCCTCCTGAAACTCATCATCATTGTCAGGATCCCCTGTTGCTGTCACCACCACAGCACTTATCAGACACGGACAGCAGCACAACCAAGTCAAGTGACATCAATAGGCGAGTATATTCGAGTGAGTAGTGAATGACTCACTAAGATCCAATATATCTCGGGTTGATGGTTCTTGGATCAATCCTTTAGCTGAGAAAGTATTCTCAGCTCACTACACATGTTGAACCACGGTGCAATGATATACTGCGGTTCATCCTCTATAAGAATCGGACCCCAAACTATGGGCGCAGTTGACTTCAACGACACATACCAAGTCAACGAAATGATATCTAATATGTTATACGTTGATGCTTCAAACTCGATTATATACAACAAGCCGACTGCAATTGTCGTGCCACTACTTTTGGACAAGATGTCCACTTCCCTGCTGTGTGTCAACAAAACTACTCTAATATGTCGACTTCAGTGACTACGCCTCGATGGCACGACTCTCTCGAATGACTAACTCGAAATAAGAAGATCTAGAGGGCTAATTCGAGCAAGGAAGCAGTTGATAATCGGATGATATTCCGATATCCTCCTGTCAATTATAAATAGAGGAGACCTGAGAAATATCTAGAAGTTAACTAGTACAACTATCTACTGTTTAACGTTGCTCCCTTCTATCCTTTCGTCTGCGTGACAATGATGCTTTCTTACTATCAAGCCGCGTTTAGTACTCTGGGAGGCTCTCAGGCACTTAAAGACCACCAAAAAGGATAAAGGATGATACTATACTACTTCATCTTTTTGTAAGAGGACACGAAAAGAAAGAAGGGAAAAAATAGGAAAAAAAAAAAAAAAAACTAAAACCACTTATTAATAAACAAAGGCCCTGAAAGACAAGATACACATACCATGAGATTCTAATAGCTCAGAGAATTAAAAGCCAGAAGGTATCATGCTACCAATTTCAAAATTGAGTCTCTCAAATTCGCCGAACAAAACAAAAACCCTCAGCAATGATAATATGGAGCCTGCGTTCTGGCTGTTCTATTCCCATACATAAGCCCTTCCTTCTCCCTTAAGCTGGTACAGGCAGACCTTTGCTACTTTTTCATTGATATATGTAATTTTGAACCCAGTAGGGGCTCATTTACCTGTCCTTTCAATGCCCTATCCGTGGTTACTACATAACATGTGTCCCCGATATCAAGACAATTTACAGAAATATGTGATATGCGGTTCAGGATGAATGGATGTGTTTTCCACCCCTGAAATCCTTTCCATTCTTTTGATGTGGCTTTGAATATCAGGATCGTGGTACGATCCTCGGGGCTGTAATAATAATATATGAACAGGTACCGTGTGAACCAGACTACACACGCGTCTTCCAACTGACTCGAAAAATGACCACTTTGAAACGAGGGCCAAACGACCCGGTAGCTGCGTATCTCAACCGATGCGAAGATCTAGAGACCCACGCCGGGGAAGTGGCCAAAGTTGACTGAAGGACCTGGTATCTATGTACCGGCAGTTCCAGAGAATTCAATAGAGATGATATTGCATTACATCCAAATACTTACAAAAGATTACTGAATATTAGAAATCAGTAAAATACAAGTGCCGTCTTATTATGGAGAGAATGGCTCATCAACCGTCTTGGTTATTCAAGTACATATGTCCAATGATTATCAGTCGGGTTACCTTTCATCAATATGCTCTTTCACATGATGTTTTTTTGACGAAAAGGATTGTATGCCCTATATACCACTCCAAAGCTCCTCTATGTAGATAAATTCCGCCATAATATATGAACTCAGCTAAGATTACTCTTCTCCTTCAGCATCTTAACAGCATCTTCCCGAAGCTTGAACTTCTGCACCTTGCCGCTTGCAGTCTTGGGGAATGACTCTGATGGTTGCAGGAAGAAAACGTATTTTGGCACTATACCAATCAATTAGCGATCTCTTGAGAATTGACAGAGCATTTCGGTGAATCAAAGGAAACATACCAAGATGGTTACTCAGCTTCTCACGAACCCACTGCCGGATTTTATCCTCATTCGCAGCTTCACTCTCGAGTTCCCGGTGGATAATGAACACAGCCACAGCCTCTCCATAACGCTCATCTGGCACGCCCACAGCCGAGGCATCGATCACGCCGGGGTACGTCAAGAGACAGTTCTCAATTTCCAGTGGGTGGATGTTCTCTCCGCCGCGGATGATGAGGTCTTTTACACGGCCCGTGATGGTAAGGTAACCGTCGGGAGACATGGAGGCTTCGTCGCCCGTCTATGATCAAGAAGTCAGTACTAAGTAAATATGGTTGTCGGTGGTTATTTGTAACAGTGTAAGTATAGTACTCACATGCATCCAAACTTTTCCGTCATTATCAGCAACCATAACCTCTGCCGTTTTTACCGGGTCATTCCAGTACTCTTTCATCAGGAGATAGCCGCTCACTGCGAGCTCTCCGCGAGTATTAATGGGCAAAATGTTGTTGTGATCATCTAGGCTCACGACCTTTGCTTCAACATGTGGGAGTAGTCTTCCAACGGTGTTTATCCGTTTGTCGATGGGGTCGTCCGTCGTGGTCATTGCAGAGACGGGGCTGGTCTCTGTCATTCCGTAGCATATTGTCAGCTCGGTGAGATTTAGGACCTTGTGTAGTCTTTTCATCAACTCCGCGGGTATGCTACTTCCGGCTGCGATGCCTGTACGTAGGTACTGGAAGCCTTCGTTGGGGATTTCCCCTTCGTCTAGAAGACTGAGCTCTTCGATAAACATTGTCGGTACGCCGTAAAGTGCAGTGCACTTTTCTTCTTGCACGGTTCGAAGGGCTGCTTTGGCGTTGAAGGCTTCTGTTGGGAATGCGATGGCTGCACCGTGGGTGGCGGTGGCCATGTATCCTAGTACGGATCCGAAGCAGTGGAATAATGGGGGCGGACAGCATACAATATCCTCTGGGGTGAGGCGCATTCTGTCGCCGATTTGGGAGCCGTTGTTGAGAATAGATCGATGGCTTAGACATGCTGCTTTGGGCATTGCGGTCGTTCCGGATGTGAATTGGATGTTAACTATGTCGGTTGGGGATAAGTTGCGAGGTGGTAGGGCGCTTTTGTCGGGCGTTGCGTCAGAGGTAAGTGATTTGTAGGCTGTTAAGCAGTTGAAGTCGGAGGTGTTGACGCGCCCGGATGAGTTGTCGACTGAGATGATGTTCTTCAGTGAGGGTACTAATTCTGACTCGATGCGGGTCTTGGAGAGGTCCGGAATCAGGTGTTGAAGAAGTGGGATATTGCTTCTTGGGTCCTTTCGGGGGAGGTTTGATTCGGTGCTAATGATCAGATGGCTTGCTTCTAGATGAGCCAGGGCGGAGACTACTTGAGTCGCGTTGAATGATGGATTGAGTGGAACCTAATGCTGTATCAGCCCTGGTCTAATGACGTATAAGCGTTCTACCTACCAGGATCGCACCCAGCTTGAAGAGTGCATAGGTTGCCTGCGAGAGATTTGGTTATTACAAGATATCTGAGAAAGACTTTCACAGGCTGGCAGCATACAACAGCATGTTCCATGGAGTTCCCTAGCATGACGCCCACACGGTCTCCGGTCTGGACACCGACAGATTCAAGGCCACGCGCAAGGGCATTGCTTCTGGCGTCAAGGGAAGAATATGTGGCTCGATCATTTTGTTGTTTGCAGATGACACTTATCACTGTCAGAAAAGCGCTCATACAAAGCACAAGCTCGATGGCAGAGGGGAAGCATACGCTGGTCTATCGCCATACTGGTTGACGATCTTTGCGAAGTGGTCTCCAATCACTGTATCTAACAGTGGAGGCTGATATTATGTCAATAGATTGCATCGATACCACGTTGACCTAACATGGCATGGAGCATGCTTACTTCTGTAGGACCTCGAGAATAGCTTGTCGTTAACAGTCCACGTCTTCCCGGCAATGCTGCCAACTGGAGGGGCTTCCTCACAGAGCATCTTCTGTGAAAAAGCCCTCTACAGTTAACCGAAGCAACGCGCATCTGGCTCTGTGGCACGGTATGTTCATAGCACTCTACCCATACACAGGTGGAGATCGTGGCGTTCGTCACCAGGATGTACCTCCCCTTGCTTCTAGCTTCACCACAAGCTGAGTCTAGATTGGCTCAACCAGGGATTGTCGGCGGATAGCTAAGAGCACGGACTGCGCCACGCAAACTTGAAGAGTAATGAACACGAGCTGAAATCTAGCCTTGACAATTGGCAGAATGAAGAATGAAGAGCTGAAGAGATGGAGTAATTTAAAGGCAGCTGGAGGAATGTGGCCGGGACTCACGTGTCCTGTAGATGCGGGGTTGATGCAGGCGGCTTGCCTGTTTGGGACACTAGTACCTGCAGCTCAAGTATTGCAGTAACATTCAATACTCAATTGGTTTGAGTAGTTTAATCTCAATAAACAGCACTCTTGAGGCACTGGTTATTAAAGCTCTACCAGGGATAAAATCAGGGATGTACAAGTAGCTACTTTGTACTCTTGTTCCTCAGGCCGGAACTGTTCCGATTCCCGGGCGGGGAAATGAAGCTTACTAGGATAGATCTCCAGCTTAATTTAGGGCTTCCCATCATTTGGTTCCTGACTACTTTGGCCCGAGAATAACCGAAGCCACATTCAGCCATTTGTCTATCTATATTCTGTGCTATCAGATGTGTTGTTCTAGACTGAATAATATAGTACTAATATTCAGGGTACTTTAGGCCATTCCACACTGATTGGTGAGTAATGCTCATCTCATTGTATCCGCACAATCCGATCCATATCAGGGCCCACATCAAGATGACTTGTGCCTTAGGCTGCAGCGGTCGCCACCCTTGCAGCCTGCACCCCCTTGGTAACCGACTCTTCTCTCCCGGTCTCTTCCCAATCACCAATCTACTTCTATTCATTCACTTGCAAAAGTCAAGATGGATGAGGTTCTCGCGCGCGAACGAGCTGATCGCGTTCACAAGTTGGCTAGGATAGAAGAGCTGATCAGGCAAACTCCTAGCCAGCATGTTAAATCCTCCGACCTGAAAGCAGCCAGTATCCGTCACCTACCCTTATCTCTTGATGGGGATAGTGAACATCACCCACGCTTCTTCAACCCATATCCAGAAGAATTGCCCCTCCCAGAGAAGGAGGATGAGAAGAATCTTCTAGAATTTCCCCCCGATCCGAAGCATATCCTGTGGGATACTCGTGATATGGAGATCTTTTTTACCAACCATTTCAGCAATAGCTGGGAATATGCATCAGATGAGTATCCTGATAACCCTCCTCCCTCTGGCATATATCGAGAGTATGTCCCCTTTCAGCACCAATCTTACCGTTTTCATGGTAAGCAGTGTGTCTGACCATCTATGACAGAATTGGAGACTACAAATTCGGTCAACTGCTGGAGTCTGTCGGGTTCAACTGGTACGCCGTAACAGTAACCGAATATCCAGAAGGGAATTACCCACACTTCAAAGCTATGTTAGAAAGTGAAGCGATTGGGGATGATCGAGTGCTCCGCGGAGAGATCATGACTATCACCGATATCATGGCTGCTCGTCTAAGAACCAGGTCTCTACGATCGCATATCATTGCCCCAGTATGCACTCAAATTGTACTTACGCTATGATAAACTAATGTGGATCGACAGATGCTAGTCATATCTCTAATGGGCCCTCGCCATGCCCGCGTCCTGGAAGCCGATCTTGACGGAGAAATGCTCAACATTCGTGCTTCCAAGCTGTACGACTTTTCGCGCAAGAACACCGAATCTGCGCAATTGATCACGCGGTATTGGCTTGGCGGTGCGTGCGGCCAAACTACGATTGAGACGATGAAATCCAAGTAGAGACGCTGGATTTGTTGACGTACTGGCGCTGGACGCTACGTTTATGATCAAATAAGTAATGATTTATGGTTCTTGAGACACATGGTATCGTTATATAATATTTGAATTAGTATGGGTTAGCATCGATATTACAAACTGGATAACTTTGGTCATAAAAACAGCACGGTTAAAGATACTAATAGTACATCTCAACACCGTCCCCTAATGACATGCTACAAAGCTCCCTTCAATATTAAATCTACCCAACATCCCCAATCAATACTACAAGAAGCATGCTCCCTCACACCAAACAATTTCCTTCACTTTTACTTCCCCGACAACTCCCCCAACGCCGTCATCGCAACCTCTTCCTTCCCCTCAGGAACAAAAACATGATCATGATAGAACCCACTAAACACATTCGCACTCACCCCAGCCTCCTTAAGCTTAGCGCTAATAGCAGCCATCAGCCCCACCGCCTCAAGACTAGAGTGCACGCTGATGGTAATCATGCGGCAGGGGAAAACATAATCAGTGAAGCCGTGTGCTTCGGCACGTTCACGAGTCACAATGTACGTGGTGCCTTCCGCTTCCTGGAAGAGGAGTCGTGGTTGCAAGGTGTGGAGATCTGGACTTGCTTGGGAGATGCTGGTGTGGGGGATGGTGAGGAAGACGAAAATGTCCGGGTGGAGAATGGGTGAGAGGGAGGCGAGGAGGGTTTGGAGGTTGGATTCGCCGGGAGTTGGGGGCATTTTGGTTTGGTTGAAATTGTGTTTGGGTTTGGAGTTTGGATTGGAGGTATAGGATTAGTTTAGACGGGGATTTATATTAGGAGGTGACGAGGATGTTGGGTGATGTAGTAGACACTGGGATTGGTGGTGGAATTAGGCTAAACTTAGTTTGGAATAGAGAGTAGTTAAGCGCGAAAAGCAACGCTCTAAATGCACTGGTTATAGACAACATCTGAAGTGTATATAGCCCCTTTGATATAATTCATTGCATGAGGAGAAACATAATGCTTAGTGTCCTCTTCCTTCTCTTCCTTCTTTTTCTTCTTCTTCTTCTTCTTCTTCTTCCTCCTCGTCGACGAACACGTAAGAGGATCCTTCTGACTCTCTTGATGACGATTCTTCCGATGTTTCTTGTTGTTCTTCTGTTCCTTCTCCTTCCAATTCTTCTTCTCCTTTCTCTTTTCCTCCTCCTTCTTCTTCGTCATCGCAACTAGGGTAATCATTGTAGTCTTCGAGAATAGGAACCCAATCTTGATGTATTCTTTGTGCTGCTCTCTCTTCCTCTTCCCTATCCTTTCCTGTCCCAACTTTCGATGATGCTATCTTTTCTTTGGGCTTACTCTTCGATGGGCCTTCTTCTGCTTCCAATGATGATCCTCCTTTTGACCATTTCCTTGATGATGCTTTTGCTTCTTCGGGTTTCTTGTTTGGTGGCCTTTCTTCGACCTCTTCTTCTCCAGCCTCTTCTTCTTCGGTCTCTTCTTCGTCGGTTTCTTCTTCGTCGGTTTCTTCTTCGTCGGTTTCTTCTTCGTCGGCTTCTTCTTCATCGGTCTCTTCTTCTGCTGCTTCGGCTGCTGCTTCTGCCTCTTCCTCATTAACCTCCTTGGCTAAACATTCTTCTTTATCTTTGTCCCCTTCCTCTGTAACATTCTTAGATGCTTCAAGTTGCATACCCCTTTGCTTTCGCCGTTCCATCTCCCGTTCCTGTTGCCGTTTTTTCCTCCTCTCTTGCTGAGTGTAACACCCTTCCTCTCCACAAATACATGTTCGACCTTTCCAATATTCCCGGCCATAGTTAATCGTGAGTTCCTCAAAAGGTTGAATATTCCGCACGACCTCCACGGTCATTTTTGCCCGATTCCCAATTGTCCGCCGTTCAAAAGTTGTATTGGGCCTGCAGGAGTGGTTGATAAACCGAGTGAAATTCCCATATTCCATCGGGCAAATTAGAGCAATTTCCTCATCTACGTCGACTTTACCCTGCATGGTAAGCGCATATATGAGGTCACCTTGGTAGCAAGGTGGATGGAGCTCGCCAATATATTCACCCAGGATATCTCCTTTCTCAAATCGCGCAAGAGCACGTACCCCGACACCCTTGGGTGTTTCCACCAACTGCACGAATTCAAAGGGGGCCTCCTTTATTCGACATTCGCAGATTTTCCCTTCGGCGCAGAGATCGCAAAGACCATAGTTAAGGCCCTCTCGCAGGGTTGGATCCTTCTTCAGCCCCCGATGCTCTGGATCCTTCGCCGTTTGCCAATCCCTGGGGTGAAAAATGCTAGCTCCGATATGTTTCTGTAAGCGATTTTGGAATTTCGGTGAGCGAACTTGTCTCTCCTCTTCAATTATGACTATTTCATGAGGATGTGTATGTCTGAGATTCTCCGCTTCATTTCTGGAAGCCAATACATGGTTGAGCTTGGGTGGAGCAGCATCCCCCGCATATGGCGCCAACAATTTGCGCCATTCAAAACCACGCGTAGAAGCCTGAATCCAGATATTGTAATGGTGTTCCTGAAATTTCCTATATACGGCTTTCCACATTAATGTGCTTTCTTCCTTACATAGCCTTCGAAAGGCTTCCGCCTGTACACATATCGCAAGCATGGACCAGCCGAAGTTCTCGGCGAAAATCCGTAGTCGGCTCGCTTCTCGCTCCTCGCAATCCATGTTGGCCTCATCAAATGACCATAATGTGCAAGTAAGGGCCTTTTCTAAGGCCCGTGATGCGTAAATGCACCGCGCCTCGTAGTCCAATCTTGCCACTTTGTTGTTTTCACTTTCGTTGTGTATTTTGTTGACCTCATATAAGTCGTACATGAACGCATGCAGGATCTGGTCTCTATCCAGTATAAATGCTGGGGATAATGGGCGGGGCTGGAAGGTGCCCATCTTGGGTCGTTTGTTAGGAGTATTTTCTGCATTTTCTCCTTCTTGTCGCCGCTTTTTTTGGGATCCTGATAGTTGCGCTGGGGCGGGAAAACTCGTGTTGGGTCGATTTCTGGAAGAGCTTTCTGTGTCTTCTCCTCCTTCCTGCCTCTGCTCCTCCTGGGATTGTAGTGGCTGGGATGGAGTGTGGAGAGTCGTATTGCCCCGTTTTCTTGGAGAGCTGTCTGCCTCTCCTCCTTCTTGTCCCTGCCCCTCCTGGAATTCTGATGTCTCTGATGGAGTAGGGGGGATTGTCTCAGACTGTTTGCTAGGAGAGATGTCTTCGTCTTCTCCTTCTTGTCCCCGCTGTGTCTGGGATCGCAATTTTTGGGATGGAGTGGGGGAACTCCTTTTGGGCCGTTTGCTAGGAGAACTGTCTGCATCTCCTCCTTCCTCTTGCGTACGCTTCCTCAGAGATCGTGTTCGTGAACTGGAGGTATCTTTCGGACCGTTGTCCGAAATTCTTTTCGCAGCCATAGATCAGGTAGTTGTGGTATGATTAGACTGAATTGGTGGGATGGGCAGTGACGTCTTTGAGGCTTCTCGGTCTGATTTGGGTAGCTACAGGCTCCGCCTGTATTGGGTTGGCTAACTTTCGGGGGTTTAAGTATCCGGAAGCTGCCATCATGAAAACGGGCCTCTTCCGGTAACCTGCGGTGTAACACAATGAGCGTTTGTAAATCTTCGGCACAAAACATCTGTTCAGGACTGCTTTGTCTTGCCCATATTTAGATTATCTTGGGGAAATATCACTTGGTTCCATGGAAAGGTAAGCATGCTGTGTCGGGGACTATTGTTCCTCATATAGTCTTATCAACGGATTATTCAGGCGAAAGAGTCAAAGACTGGAGATAAACCATAGAATTATAGCATTGAAGTCTGAAACCTATAAAGATCCTATCGGGTAGATATAATTCTCGGGATAATGAGATGGGGGGACTCTTTGTTGTTGGGGGTCAAATTTATGCGTCGTTCTTTGTTGGTGTTTCGACGGATATTGGTAGATAATGAAGAGTATGAAATATCCTGAATTCTTCATTGATTACTATTTTTGGATACTCAAACGGCTGCTGGTGGCAGAATTGCTCCATGTTTAACCTTGATTGTTATCTTCTTGTCAGTAATATCAGCATAGAGATATAGAGGTCATGAAGTTCAAGCTTCGGAATGCTCATCGATGTTCATCACTATGGTTTGTTGAGACATTCTTGTCCTCCATCATGCTCCAGGCAACCAGTGAGATATATCTTTGGTATACTGGCAGAATCTCTTTCGGCAGTAATTACTGCCAACTATGTTAGTGACAATAGACCAGTATTATCTAATTATTTGTCGGTTTCTTTTCGTCAGTAGGAGGATAGAGTGGGTCTATGTAGAACAACTTAGTAGACCATGTATTGAAGCAGCAGACTTGTAGTGGCCTGAATGCAGTGCTCTCTCCGTTCATTGGATATCTTAGTTAGAAAAATGGAATCTTATAACTTTGACTACCATATGTGATCATGTCAATTATTCCAGGCTTATCACTATAAATAACGTTGTCATGTGACTGACTGTCCTTGCGGAGCCAGTGCGGGACAGTTTGGGCACCCCGGATGACGAAAGTCTGCAGGTTGATGATAGCCATAGGGTTATTACTAGTTTCTGCACAATAGTAAGCAACCAAACCTCGGCTTTGAAATTCAAAGAATCGAACGAATTATATGAAGCAACGAATGCCCACACAAGCGGTGTGAAGCATAACCATGTGAAACCCAAAGGAGCAGTGCCAAAACCAGGCCGGAAGATCAATGATCCAGTCGCGGGGCGCGCGGGTGTCGGGGTCCCAAAGCGGCCTAGCGGCAGGCAGTCGGGGTCTCGAAAGGGGCATAGCGCCAGGCTGGGGCAGATGAGCCTCGTTCAGGCCATTGTATGTAAGCCTTGTACCACCGCCGGTCCATCCTTCGATTTCCTTCACTCCTTTTTGTCTGCCTGATTCTTCATCATCTCCAGGGACACTCCTGAGGGCTACCTACTTTCGTTGTTTGCCTCTCTTCATCTTTGAAGGCTTTGCCAAGTGCCGGGTTCGACGTGACTCACCCCGTCGAAAAGGTTTCTCCTCCGTCTTTCCTTATCAGGCAATAATCTCAAGGCCGGCTCTTTCCCACTCCGTCCTTCCGGTCATCCTGAATTCCCGGGCATCAACTCTCCCTCAAAGCCGCGTCTCTCCTTCGATTATGGCTGCCGACCAGTTGCTCCAGTCCATCGCTCATTCCACTCCCGGTGAAGAGTGGTTTGACTTTGACAACTCCTTCGACATCCCCTACGGGGGTGTGGGAAGCAATCCCACCTCGGTGGATTCTGTCTCCCCTAAGGATTTGGATCTAACTTTTGCCGACTTTGATGATTGCAATTGGGGTCCGAGTCCTGGGGTCTGCACTCAGGAGCTATTCGCTGATCTGGTCAACTATGATGCGCCTATGGAGGGCTTTGGAGGACATGCATTGGACGCCTCGCCATCCATGCTGGACCCCACCGGGTCCTTACACCAGATGCCCGCATCTCCGACTCCGGGGCTGATGGGATCGGAGCTGACTGACCTATGGTCACAGGATATGGGCGGGGTTGACGACCCCTTCTACACTACTGTCCGACAGATGGTGGAGTTCCAAGCTGCTGCTGATCCAAGCGCCTTGTCTAGCAAAGAAAAGCGCATGGAGGCATCTATTGCTCTTCACATGCAACGCCTTCAGGAAGCAGCAATGCAGGATCTGGAACTGTCGTCGGACTCGAGCACAACATTCCCATCCCCTCGCTGGTCTGACTCTGCAGCTAGCGTTTATCAGGGTGGGACATGTACAACCCCAGCTACCACACCTCTGCCCGATGTAACGCGCACACCAGTCTCGAGCTCTGAGTCTGCAGCTGGGGCTATGGAACTGGTGCTTGATCTTAACATGAACACAACCACGAACGTACCAAAGAAGCAAAAGCCTCGTTCGCAAGCTCAGAAAGAAAACTACATCAAAGTTCGAAAGCATGGTGCTTGCGAGAAGCACAGGAAACAACACAAGCGGGTGAGTAAACCTCCCAGGGCAGCCGGATGTCTATGTACTAATTCAAGTATAGTGCAACTGTCTTGAGAAGGCCGCCTCCCAAATTGCTGTCAGCCAAAAGGCTGTTTCTACTTGCAACATACCAATCAAGTCGACCTTCAGCACGCAACGACACGTTCACAGATCTGAACGAGAATCTCTTCTTGTGAGCACGACGCCGACACCAGCCAGTAAGTCAACTGTTTCACAGCCGACAGGAGGCTTGGGTTCAAAGGAGCTTCAATACGTTCAACTTCGGCATCGCCACCGTTTGCCATCCACTCCTACGTCGATGGATCCTCAATATGGACAGCACTCGCCACACTCAGTCAAGTCAGCTGCAAGCTGTCGTGGCGATGTAGACCTCAATGGCGGTACAGGTCGTCCGACAACGCTCCGGGACAGCTCGGGACAACAGCAATCACCAAGGTCACCTGGTTCCGACCGCAGGGTCGGCCTCGTCCACTCACTGTCGAAGAGACTGCAGATCTGTTCGACATCAGGTCAGGTAGATCGGGGAGGACTGGCTCTTCGTCATGCTCCGGACAGACAACAAGCAAACCAGGCTGTGACAGCCCGCATGCATGTGTCAGTCCAGGCATCAATTCCATCCCGATCCAGTACAGCTGCCGTCAGCGGCGTACTATGCAGGCCTAGCCCCTCCTCGCGTGCTGCTGCCACAGCAAGCGTGCAATCCAACCGCGGCACTGAGGCCAGTGCCATATTCGAGACACACGCCAGTTCCTGGCGCATCAGATCTTTGGTATATCCATCGACACCCCACTCGTTGGCCGTACAAGCCAACGATGTCCACGACCAATTTGCGTCGCGGACAATTGTGTCAAGGGTACTTCAAAGCGTCTTTCCGGTCTCTCACTTCTTGGATTTATCTGTATGCTTCGCTTCTTGGTTGAGTACGTGCTTTGACAAAACCTGGAGCTTTTCCAGATTTGGCAAGCTCGTCATGATATCGACCAGACGGCATTGGCTCACGGGGAAGGGATTTCGATGGGGTTGATTGAGTTTTAAAACTTGCATAAGCGTGTTTTCTCTGTTTTATATGTATATTTACCAGTCATTTAGCGGTGTTAGTTCTGTCTTTGCTTGATACCATCGTCCATGCTAGAGCATGAGGTGAACAGTTAGGAATGGTCATTTCATACATTTCATACATTTTATTCCAATTGGTTTAACTTTCCTTCATCTCATAATAAGCAACTTACCAGCAGAATAACCAGCCACATACTGACTGAACTTTAAACAGGACCCCTCAAGTGACCGGTAATCAGGAGTAGCCCTGTACTCAAGGACATCCCATACTGCGAATCCCGAGTCCACCGTCCCCACTGCTATACAATCCCACCAACCAATCAACAGCCCTCCACCATCCGCGTTCCAGCGGGCCCCAAACCGAATGGATCCATCCATCAATCCATCCGTCCATCCATTTCATCTCCAGTTCTCATCTTACTCCCTCCATCCAAAAAGAAACCATACCCAACCCTCTCCCCCATCTTCGAACCCAATGACCCCCTCCACCCCCACCGAATCGCACTGGCGATTCTCCACCGTAACAGGCTACTTCTACCAAAGCGAGCCCTCCACCGACCCCAACACCTTCAACTACGTACGTCCACCCCAAATCCCCCTATCCCAACCCAAAAATTAATATCAAACACCCAGGCATCCTCCAACTTCGGCCTCATCCCCCGCGCCTACCCCACAGACGCAGACCTAGGCCCCAACATCAACCAAAAAACCACCTGGGAGCGCTTCGCCCACCACGTGCGCACCCTCAACGCCCAATCCACTGACCCTAATGTCCGCTACAAGGTACTCTTCCTCGGCCGCCACGGAGAGGGCTACCATAACGTAGCGGAGCGGGAGTACGGCACGGAAGAATGGGATGTAAGTAAACCAGTTATCTAAACTCAAACACCCTTCTCCATCATAAAACCCCATTATGGATAATAATGAAATAAAAAAAAAGAAATATTACTCCCTCCTCCCCGGCAACGGCACAAGCAACTGGGTCGACGCCCGTCTCACAGAGGTGGGCAAATCCCAAGCGCGAACCGCGCACAATACCTGGAAACAGCAACTCAAGGAACATCATATCCCCACTCCGGAGAAATTCTACGTTAGTCCGTTGAATAGATGTCTTGAGACGGCGTGGATTACTTTCGTTGGGACGGGGATGGAGGGTACGGAGCCGTTTAGGCCGGTTGTTAAAGAGGTACTATTCATTCCCCTTCTTAGTTACCTCCTTTTTGTCATTGTCATGGACTAGTTAGTTATTAACCGGTGACAGCTCCTCCGCGAAACCATCGGCCAACACACCTGCGACGGCCGGTCCAGCAAAACAGCCATAACGACCGAATACCCCACCTACATCATCGAGGAAGGCTTCACTGAGAACGACGAGATGTATGATGCCGAGCTCCGGGAATCTGATTCCGCGCGGGACAAGCGATTCCGTGATCTGATGCAGGATATCTTTTCCACGGATGAGGACAAGATGTTCCTGTCGTTGACGGCGCATTCCGGGGCGATTACGAGTCTTTTGAATGTTTTTGGGCATCGGAGGTTTTCGCCTCTTGAGACCGGCGGTGTTATTCCGGTTTTTGTTCGTGGGGAGAGAGTGCAGGGGCCGTTGCCCGTTATGGAGGTGGAGCCTTGGTTTGGGGTTCCTAAGTGATTTGTCTAGACATGACATAGTTGGTGTTGCATATAGAGAGAAAGGAACTAATAGGTATATAGATGATAGATATTGTATTGTACATTGATTCTTGGATCGAAGCAACCCTCATCATACACGCACGTTAAGATAGAGACACGGGGGGAAGTTAACCAAGAAAAAAAAAGGGTTTTTAAAACACATGCTGAGAAAATCCACCAGAGAGGAATGAAGTGCTTCTTAACGGTCTAGGAATATTGAACAGAAAAACAACGCCGAAAACGTATAATCGAAACATTGATCACCAGCTGTAGAACTGGTTCTGTGCCGTAATCTTGCGGTCCGGCAGCGGCGTCCAGAGCTTAGCCTTACGCTTGCGCAGCTCCTCGGCTTCCCGGTTTTGCCATTGACGGATACGCGTCTGCTCCTCCTTCAGCACCACCGACAGAGAGGTGTACGGCGGACGCATGAGGTTGATGTTACCACGCGCGCGGTGGTCGTAGTCGTAGCCGTACGGTCCACGGTTAACCCACGCTTGGTCGATGTAAATGGAGGTAGGATCGTTAATGGTCTTGCGCTCTCCGTTCTTGAGAGTGATCGTGACGGGCTTCTGGCTGGCGGTCTTGCCCTCGACGGCTCCCAGACCCATACCGGAACGCACCACGGCGACGTTCTTAGCATGCTCAAGGTGCTCGAGAACCTCCTTGGCGGCCTTCTTCTTGCTCAGACGCATCTGCAGCATGGCATCGTCGATGTTCTTGCCGGCAATTTGACGAGCAAGAGGACCCAGCTTCTTGACGGAGGTCTTGAACCAATGGGACTTGGAGAGGGACTCGCGCTCCGTCCGCATGATCAACTCGGTGGGCGAGATACGGCCTCGACGACGGATCTCGCGAGCAACCATCTTTTGTTCCCAGCGTGTGCGCGCCTTGGGGTTCGGGTCCAGCACGGCCTGCATCGTCTCCCGGTTTCGTCGGTCAACGGCATAGTCGATCTCTTCCTGGCCCTCCTCGGTGGCGCCGGCTTGCTTACGAGCAGCGGGCGTACGGCCGGAGGCCACCAGCTTGGGGCTGGCTTCATCCTCTGCGAAGATGGAGTCGGCGCTCAGGGAACCCTCGCGTTTGGCGGGAGCGGTGGTACGGCGAGCTTTGGGCTTGGCGGCGCCGGGCTTGCCGCCGAAGAAGAAGTTCTTGATCGAGGACAAGGTGGAGGGCTTCGATTCGGACTCGGATTTTTCATTGGGGCCGTTGGAACCGTCTTCGGAGGCTTGACGAGGGACAGTGTAGGCCAGTGTGCGGCGAGGGACGTAGGTCAGGCCGGTCCGGGCTGAAGAGACTGCAGGGAAGAGGTGAGGATGGGAGGGGCCACAATTGGGAGAAAAACAGGGTTATGTGTCTTGCGGGTACTTACTGGACCGGATCAGCTGCCCATACTGGGGGACAGCACCCATTGAGGCCATGACGGACGATGAATCTGGAGGTGATAGCACGGGGTCCGGAGATCAGAGGGAAAAAAGTGTCGGGATGAAGACTGGGCCTTGGCGGTGCGTCTCGGGTCTGTCCGGTCCGCCGGATGCTTCTGCCTCGACACCTGATATTTCCGGCGACAAGATTCGAAGCCGCAAGGCAAGCACTAGTCTAATTCTGGAAGGGTCAGCCGCGGCTGGATCATGTGTCTTTGGCTGGAAAGGGAATCCCGGTCCTGCCAATCACGGCGTAAGTCCATCTGTACAATGACCTCATACCCCGGAAGGGTGTGGTGGCCTCGGCCTAACCCGCTTTGCCCGTTCGGGTAGCAGCCGGCCAGGCCCTCCCATGGAGGTGTACTACATGCATCCAAACATGCCTGCTGAGAACAAAGTTTAGAATTGGCCATGCATCCTTCAGGGCTCGGATCGCGCCTGAGTGTCTGGGTCCTCCAGCCACTGACCATTTATAGTTACCCGTCTCCCGAGCTAAGTCACTGGCCGGTTACACAGCACGAAAGATCGATCAAAGTCGAGATTCCCTGCTTTTGCAGATGGGATCCAGCCGCAAAGCTGCTGGAGCATGCAGACTGCTAGGACTGGTATCACTTTACATGCGTTCATGGTCTGTCGGCTCATTGGTAATCCCCTTGTTCTCTCAATGCACATCTGGTGATTGATGCCCGTCTTTTCACCTTCCATAGAATCAGCATTAATCATTGATTATTGTCTCAATTGTATCAAAGCCAAAAATTCTTATACAACAACCAGCTTCTATGGCTCAGTTGGTAGAGCGCATGACTAGTAATCATGAGGTCCGCGGTTCGAATCCGCGTGGAAGCATTTTTTGCCCTTTCTATTTTCGCCCAGGCATATCGTCATCAGCCCGTCTTTTGACAGTGGTACCGGTGATGAAGGTAACTTTTGCCAGTTAAAGTGAATTAAGTGGTTGTTGGTCGGCTACCTTGCGGAGTGAGCCGCCAATATCCAAGATACTCCAGGTCTTATGATCAACCAGCAATGAGCTTCTATGCCGGTTGTAAGATAGGGTATAAGAATTGAGTTGGAGATCCATGGATTTCTTTGATACTTTGTTCTTATTTGTGGCCCACTTGCCCACCCTTTACCGCTCCCGAGGCTTTTCATGACTTTGTATGGGGTGTTTCTGATCGTTGGCGCTCGGCAGACCTTGGTGCGGATAGACACCGTGCGCCAGCCTCGAGAGGTAGACAAGAAGCTCTTAAGACTTCTCTTCTTCATTCGAGGCCTCAGGATAGGGCATTGTCTCGGCGACTCTCTTATATATCTCGATAATCGGTTACTGCCATAAGTCTTACTTTCAGTCATCGCTATATATTAGCGGTGCCGAGCTATTTCCGTAGTGGTGGGCAGCGGATAGTAACACGGCAGGTGCTAGGGAGGTGGCGCTGGACCAATTGGCGATACAAATTGGGATACCTGAGCTAGATAATGAGTTTCGTGGTTGGGTAATCATCGTGTGTGAGTCAGTGACAACGCGGGGTAATTGGCTCGAGGAAAGCCTGCTGTGTATGCTCAGGCTCATCCAAGTAAGGGTGCTATCCGAGCAGTGGGTGGGGAAGTGCGAGGTTAGATTAGGATTGCAGAATGTGGCTGGCTGTGCTCCCTGTACGTGTGTGGGGGTAATGGCTGCGAGGATCTGAGTGTAGAGGTGCTTTATGGAAGATTGGTTTGGGCTGGGCATACACATGGCGTGGGTACTGCTGCGTCGCACGATATTGGCAGAGTTCCTGTTCTTTATAGTAATGGTAAATACCGATCGTGAAGTATCAGATTGAGGGAGGTGGGGGAATGGTCTTGGTGGGATTTCCATGGACTTCTGTTGGAGGTGCTTTCCTGCTGAACCGTCAGCAACATACCCTGCAGGAAGATGTCTCCGTTGGTGGTCTATATGCTACCGCCGGTGTTCTTTGATACCTCACCTTCCACAGGTGCCTGTTGTGTGACACATGCTAGGTGACCTCTCTCGTGCGTTCGCATGGTAACAGCGGAGACACCGATCGTGCATCGACTATTACTGCTTCAGTGATACTGTTTTCTGATTCTGTCCTCGGCCAGGCTCCCGTGGTATGCTGCCGGTGTAGGTATGATCCTCTGCTGGCATTGTAGGTTTTGTATTGAGTGATGGGTTTTCAGGGTTTGCGTTATGATGAGCGCGGTGGTGACTTCGGGTGGTATCTGTTGGATTCAATCTCATCAAATAACATTTTATACGTGATATTGGTGTTGATGGTTGGCCTGTGTGGGTGGTCAACATCATGATGGCGCAGTGTTCATGGCGATAGTATATATAGTGTGCACGGAAAGCTGGCGAATGTAGCGGCAAAACATCTGCAACTCAAGATTGACAGGCTGTAGGCTAGTAAATATAGATGGTATGGTGGGTAGAAAGGAAATATGAACTCTTGCAGCGCTACTCACTATGCCTAAACATATCATAAGAAGGGTTTGCATAGTAGTAATGATAGCAATAAGAACATATCTTTCTGGAAGGCGCGGACTGTCCAATTCCAGGAGCAGTTGTCATTCTCTAGCATAGGAACAAGTAGCATAAGATGCAAGTCATTCACATCAACCAGCTTCTATGGCTCAGTTGGTAGAGCGCATGACTAGTAATCATGAGGTCCGCGGTTCGAATCCGCGTGGAAGCA